TTTTTTTTTTTTTTTTTTTTTTTTTTTTTTTTTTTTTTTTTTTTTTTTTTTTTTTTTTTTTTTTTTTTTTTTTTTTTTTTTTTTTTTTAAAAAAAAAAAAAAAAACAGGACCAAGCAGGATACTTTCCTTCAGGATTCTTGGGACTGTGGTTCTGGGGTTGGCGATATGTGACGGCCGCCGACTACGACACAGTTGATTCTGAAGCCCCCACCCAGCCTCGAACATGGCATATGCCATAGTGACGATACCCGTTGTCGGGGCAGAATTGTCTGACAGGTAGAACTTTGAAACCTAGCTACCATACCCATCCAACCAGATTATGGCGTACATACCCGTTAAGCTACGCCTGAGCAGGGTCTATTCGTGTGAGGTCGGCTCGACTATCCGATCACACCACCAACTCCCGGCAGGCAAACCTCAGTGCACCAACACATCTCCCGCATCCATGATCCAACTAACAAGGCCATGTTGTAAATCCCTGCAGTTCCCCAGACGTTCGCAGGTTTCTCTACAAAGAGAGAAGCACGCGTACGATGATCTCGGCTTACGTATGGATCCTGTCTCCATCGACTCTCCCACGGACCACGATATAATTGTCTCCAGGGGTGGCTATGGCCATTATTCTGGACAGCCGGGCCATATGAATCTCAGATGCCAAACGCCGACAAGACTATTTGGGTGCGTCTAGCCCTTTGAGGTAATTGCTTGGACACACTCTAGCAATATTAGAAGGCCGCTGATAGGTCGCTACAGGTATATCGTTGACACCAGCCGAACCTACGAGTCATGGCTCTGCGTAGGCGGGGGCCCATACCGTCCCGTAATCGACATCTAACCGTGCAAAAGGTGTCTGTCCTCATCTGGTGGCCCCATGCGGCAGCTGAGCCGCCCGCACGTTTGCTGCACGGCCACGTTTTATATCTGCCCACCCTGTTCAGGGCCGACCACGAGCCACTGACATAACCTAACTCCCCGAAGGGTTGCAGCGGGCAAAAAGCTTATCCGCCAATTGTGTAAACGGCGAGACCCATTTGTTGTCTTGTCAACTGACATTGGAGGAAAGCAACAGACCTACATGTTTAAGCTCCAGGAAAACTTGTCTCAGAACTCGGCCGAGACGTCGGGGTAGTTCTTGCGAATGATTAAAGATGAATTCTTTACAAATCATATGAGACATGCTTAATCTTCCTGTGGCGTGAACTGATGTTGGGTTTGCATCGCCTTTGGATGAAAGCTGAAAACAACAATCGGCGATCACAACTACCGTGCCCCTCAAGCTAGTGTCGACAAGTGCCTCGGCTACGGGAACTATCCCAATGGGGACTGTACAAAAGGGGAATGTCCCAAAAGATGAGGGCACAGGCGGTTCGCTGTGGGGCGCGTCGTCCGCCAAGATGCGCATTGCTTAGTTTGATGTTGTAGTTCGTGGCTAGCGTGACGTTGAAACCCTGAGAGTCCGGGAGGAGTCCGGTGCGTAGTCTACAGGCTCCGGCAATCTCCGGCCAAATCCGGACGGGCACCGACCGAAATTACCCACTTTAACCCGGACATCGTCATAAAAGCAAGAGCGACGGCTAAACGGCTCTATTGGCTGCCGCTAAAGTCACCGAAAACTTAGGCACGATTCAGCCTTCGTACGATCTTGTGACTTGTCACGGCAGGCAAAGATTTCTCTATTGATCTAGCCCGGACTTGAACCGGAGACCTTCAGTGAAAGACGCGCAACTTCTCAATCATGTGAGAGAAACTTGGCATGTTAGACTGACGTGATAACCAACTACACCACCAGACCATATGATTGCTCAATGAAGATGCCAAGTTGATTGTGTGGTGTTCGGTACCGCGGATGCCAGCGGATGCCCACAGAAGCGGAGCTGACGATTCTCGGGTGGGAATCGAGCCCTAGCAGTGGAGACCTTCTGGACGCGTCTCACGCGCTGGTTGGCTTGAAGAAAGCCAAGGTGCCCGAGGTCACCGAAGCTTGTGGCGGACATAGCTCAGTTGGGAGAGCGTCAGACTGAAGTGGGTTTCGATCCTGTAAACTTCAATCATCTTATCTGAAGGTCGTGTGTTCAATCCACACTGGCCGCAATTTTCCCTTTTTGTCTGTGAACGAGATTGAAGATCGTAAATTGGGCTCGCTGTGTGTGCTTTTGTTAGCAGAGAGAGAACAAACCCTTCGAATACAAAAACCTTTGCCACCATTGCGGGCATCTATCCAATCTTCCGAAGAGTCGATAGTCGAGATACACGGCAAACACGATAATTCCGAAACATAAGAAGGTAGAAGAAGAACATCGGCGTGTGTTGTGCGCCGACACAAAACAAAAGTTCCAGCATACGTGTTCATCCACCAATGTCCTTTCGCCAAGAGCGAGATACGACGCGCCTCTGAATCCTCACTCTGTCCTTTGCATGTAATGAATGTAAATTTGAGCCGAGAATACGAGACTCGCGCAGGATGTGATGGTGCAAGTTCCAAGCAAGTGGCTGGCGTCTTCTCCCCTGTCAGATCATCATTCCAGTCAAGGCTGATCAGGAGTCCCCCACATCGGCTCACCTGCCTCCAGCCAACTCTACCAATTGCCGACGTGGTTCTATTGGTCCTGGCGAGGACCCGAGATTATCGCTCTAATCAACGATTTGTTTTGTGGACTGCGATAGTGCAATGACAAGTATGGGATGGTATTTTCCTACTACTTACCGTCAAGCTTTGCGCAACGCAGCGTTGCTTTGTTCGTCGAGAACATTTTTTCCCATCAGTCATGCATCCTAGTTGGTCTTCCAGCTGAAACCCAAGGTGATCGATCTGGAAACCCCGGAAAAGTTGATGGGAGCGTCAACAGTATCTAACGCTACAACTGTCGACTACCTCACGAGAGAAGTCGAAGACACGTCATTGGCGTTAGCACGCGCGCCTGTGCCTTAAGCAAACCTCAGCAGTAAGATAGAAGGCACCAAACATAATACGAGACATATAACATCATCAACAAATTGTCGAAACACGAGCATAGCTATGCGAACAAACATGGGAGGCGTCAAGGGAAAAGAAAAGGGGCGAAGGAGAGCTTCTCCGACGCATTAAACAACCGGCATTCTGACTCAAATAAGACCACGCTGTGGAGCAATGTTAGGACTCTATCAATACGAGATACCTGTTGCAAATTGCGAGAAAGACAGAAACAAGAACTCTACACCAATGTTACCTTTGTCTCAGGATACTTGCCGGATGCAAGTGCCTCCCCATCCATGACTCCACTCACGTAGGCGTCTCCGACCACCTCGTACATTCCGGCTCCAGTCGGCCTGAGGACGAAAGGCACCTCCGACCCAAGTAGAACACACAAGCGATCGCCTTTTCTTCCCTCCCTCGGTATCATGCAGAGTCTGCCCTCTGCCGTAGTCGAAAATCTCCTAGGCGTTGCCGCGGACAGCACACTCATCTCGACCGACTGCCCAGACAGAACGAACCGAACCCTCGCCCTCTCCGCCTCCTCCACGTCCTCCGAGTTGAGCCATACTTCCATTCCCTTTATCATCGTCTTCATATGATCCGACATGTCAACATCGATACGATCGCTGAGCTGGCTTCTCTCGCAAGTCATAGTCCGCCAGAAAGAGTCGAGTCCCTCGGGAGACATCTCGTCGATATCCGCGGAACCGCAAGCGAGCTTTACACATTGTCTATAAAAGTTGAGGGATCTCCATGCGTTGCGAGAATGATAGGTGCCCAACCGATCTAGTGGAAATGGGACGCGGCTGGGCTTCGACGGGAACGGCAGGTCTGGAAAGAAGATACCGTCTTCCTTCACCGTGTCGATGAACATACCCGTACACTCCAGGATCTTATCGTCTACGATTTCGACTCTTCCCGGAGTAGCCCCACCAGCAGAGAACTTCCCATATCGGACGGTATAACTTGGCAGTGTATCAATCTCCTGGTTTCGCAGATCAGGAACCCACGAGGGCAAGCCTGGAAGACGCCGCTTCTGCCATCGGATATACGGGCGAAGATACCAAGGGGCTAGTGCGTCAGTGATGAGCTTTTGCGGCGCCAACGCGAGGACAGCGAAGTTTTGCTTCTCCAAAAGCTGGGAGCGGGCGAAGCGCAGATAGCACTCTTGCACTGATAGCGAGTACAGATTGTCCTGAGAGATGATGCTGTCTTTTTCGACATCTGATGCGTGTCCTAGAATACCAAGGATGTGGTCTCTAGGGTTGCTACAGAAGAATGATCTAGTCGCTTTGACCCCGTCCATCAGCGTTATCGGCTTGGTTCCCCAATACCAATGGCTGAGACGCATCATGGAGAGGTTGTACAATCGCCCAGGGATAAAAGCCACCGTCTGGTCCGAGAGCAAACCATCATTTGGTAGGGCCTGGATCCCAAATGTTGCCATGCGCAAAGCAAGTTCTGCCATGGGCTTGAAAGGCATTTCGAGCTTGCCGCAGTACAGCCATGTTCTGTCGTTAAGCACTGCCTCTTGATAGACCCATTTACGCTCGAACCAGCTGTGATTCAGGAGCGACCGGAGAGGCTTCCAATCGAGATGTTTCGTCGTCGACTTGTCCGCTTCAGACCCCTCAGCGTTCCGATGCCCAAGGAGTTCTGCGCTTTCTCTATTTTTCTTCGGGTCGTCCACAACTTCGGGGATGAGTTGCAAAGCCTGATCGACGAGTTCCACTACGCCATTCACATCTCTGTCGTCGCTTCCGAGCCAGATCAGAACAGAGGCAGCTTTCGAGTAGATCTCCGTCATGCGTACTATCTGATGCGTCTTCTCCATTGTGTTATGCTGGTCGATGCAGATTGAGTCTGCCCAGAGCGTATACACTTTGTCCGGGCGACGCCATCGCTTCAGTGCCTGAAATAGCGTTTTCGTGATTTGTATCTCGCTCCCATCGCAGGTGATGTATGCATTGTCCCTGAGATCTCCCCACGCATACGATACCGCGTGATACTCCGGCGGGTCAGAGATCGAGGCAACGCTTAGTTTCACTTCCACGGGATCGCCACCTCGTCCTGGAAGAAGATGAAGCAACCGGAACGAGCCTTCATTCAATTCTGAGTGGATATATCGGGGAGCTCGCCGGACGAGTCTCTTCAGGGTTGACAACAAATCGCGGTCACCGACGCGAATGAACGCGTGATAGCCGATCGGGGCTGATAGGACCAGTGTCACCCCAACCGCAGCAAGTGTCAGTGGACCGAACTTGAGGCTGTCAATAAATAATAACATTTGGGCTGACACAATGAATCCGGCAGGCTGGAAACCAGCTCGGGCCTCCGGGAACTGTCTGTTTGTGGAAGTGCGGCTTGTGTGGCTGGAAGTATGTGTCTGGTGGCAGAAAATTGGGAGACCCCGGCAGATTGCGAACGGGATTGAGACGAACGGACGTGCATGCGGGTCCGAATTGATGATTATCTCGACCAATCACGACGAAGATCATTCACGTTGAGTTACATCCACTTTCCGCATTGGTAATGATGTCAGAAATCGTGTTCGGCATCGCAAGTTGGAACGATCTAGCCCGTGCCGATTCGGTTTTGGCAGCTTAAGCGCCTATGAAAGACAGAACGTGATTCTAACTTCGAAAATGGCGTTATTATCTGCAAGTAAGGTTCCCCTCGAGTTCAGTTGAAGTTGACTCTGTCGGGCAGTAATCCAAACATCAGCAGCCATCGCATCTTTGAGTTGCGATTGGGCTGTCAGAATTCCATAGGGCTGTCAAGTCCGGAACGTGGGGCGCAACGTTCTCTCGACCACTCCACGTTCCGCTGAAAGTTTGTTATGCTGCTGAAAGGCAAGATCTCTAGAATCAAGCTTCTGCACACAATTTCACTGCCCGACACATCCGTTGGCTGCCAATTGAGCATCTCCACGGCGGATGACTCAGCGGATGGAACGGCAACCCAAAATAGACACCCTGGTAGCTGCGTCGCAGATTCATGAATAAGGCACGTGTTAACGGGTGAGGTATGCCAGGGCATCGTGTCTCACCACATCACAGCTGAGTTACCAATAGCGACGACCTGCTGTGGTTGTTTGTAGAAGGAAACTTTCGCCAGTCTGTCTTCGACTAATACGTAATCACGCGGCAAAACTTGCGCATGGAATTCTGCATGAACAGGATGTAGCCGATATTTCACCACGTGTTCAAGTACTATCGAACATAATGTGAAGGTTCTCCGTTACTGTCGTTGTACCTAGAATAGTGAACAAGGAACGCTAATCCAAGACCCCGGTAGCAAACGTATCAGCACGGGGACTGCAAGCTAGCTCCTGACCTTTCGGAGAATTGACTAATTGAGTACTCTCGTACCTACCTTGTGCCCTTCCACCTGCTGGCCATAGCTCCCAGAGGTGAACAGGCAGCATTTTGCTGATGGCGAGTTTATTGTAACCAAACGATACGATACGACTGTAATTTGAGCTTGTTTGCATTGGGAGAAATTTACTCATGTTTGGGACATATCACCGTATCTCGTGCTGCGTGAGGATGTAGAGTGGTAGGTTTCTTGTGTTCCACGGTTTAGGAGCAAGCACGCAATTCACCGGAACCCCGCAAAAGGTTATTTTTGGGTCGGCTCAGGTCTTCGTGGGGACATGGCCTCTTCTCCAGTGCCTCGGTAGCCTATGATCTGTTTGGGTACCATGACCTTGCATTGATGCCCATCAGCCGATTCCTGTTGTCGGCCAGATTGGTGCCCCACAGATCCTGACCCCACGGGTCCAGGAGACCATGTTCGCTCGGTGTCAGTCCGTTGATACGGACCTTTCAAAGCAGTATACGGACGTATGTGAAGTTCATTGGATCGGAAATATGTAGGATAATTGTCCATCAGAGTTGCAATGCCCTGTCCTTGGTCCTGGCTTCAGCTCAGGATCCACCCGGACCACCTGGTAGCCATCGGATGAAAACACGGCTGCGAAATTGTGTCGATCGGTTGGGATAATGATGGAAAATCAGAGCCAAGTCAGGGAACTTGTAACAGGGAACTCCCTCTCCTCCCATATTGCTCATGATCTCGAGAGCAACGGTGGACATCAGCAAGTTGGTGCTATGTTTCACCATCAAGCGAGCTCTAC